CAGGTAGAAACCCCTTACCCAGGTAAGTGATGCAAGTCACGTAAGCAGAGGGAGCAGGTTTCCCCCTCCCTCAGGAATGCAGCCAGCTCCAGTTCCCTAAAGAGACAGGCTGAGGGTGTGGTCCCCTGTGTGCTGGGCCCACCCTAATTGAATGGTCACAGCCCAGAGATTCAAATCACAGTGTCACAGGGCAGAGATTTTTGGGGAGAAACCAAGGTGGCTTTCTGCCACAACCTCGACTTGCAAGATGTTAGCATGCCATGGGCAGATGGCGTGGGAGCTGCAAGGCACCCAATCCTTGCAGCAGCAGCAGCATAGCCCCGGCCCCCTCACCACTGTCCTCCCTAAGGCACATGCCAAACAAAATGCCTTTGTGTGCCATGCTCAGGTACCCATGCCAGGAGTTGCCTACCCCAGTGTAGACTGAAATGACTGACAAGTTGCACGGATAGTGTTTTGGACAAAAGAGAATGTTATGATTTCAGGGACGTGTCAGGCAATTTTGACTGATCTAATATATTAAGTATTTGAGAACAAAAAAACCCAACCAAACAAAAACCAAAACCAAACTGCTTTAGATGAAGGGCTTAAAAAAATCAGGGGACTAATCAATTCTGAAGAGAGTTTAAGGCAAAGGATGTCAAACTCACCCCAGGCCAAATCCAGACTAGAGAGGCTCCTCTCAGGCCAGATCTGCGAAGCTGCATTCAAGCAGGGTTGCGTGGCTACACAGAGCTGTATTCACGCAGCACAGAGCCAGAGGCACACGTCAGAGAAGAACCAAGGGCACGTGACAGTACAGAGCTCTAGCTGGGCAGCGGAACAAAGTCTGGGGTGGGCGGATGCACCGAGCCGTGCTTGGGCAGTGGCATGGAGACAGAGCTAATGGCATGCAGCAGTATAGACATGGGCATGCCTAAAAGCAGGGGCTTTTTCAATGCAGATCCACACTGCTGCCCAACTAAAGCTCAGCACCACTGCACGCCCCTGGCACTGCTGCCTGGCCAAAGTTCCATGCTATCATCCAAACAGCTCTGTGCAGCTGCCCAGGACTGATGGCACAGAGCTACACAGAGTTGTGTTCAGTAGGGAGCTACCACCAACAGTCATGTCTACTGGGGTCCAGGGACCCCAAATTCTGTTTCACTGCACTTCCCACGGCCCACAGGTCAAGTATTTGACACCCTTGGGTTTAAGGTATTTCTTCAGTCACAAATTAACTTTGGAACAGAACTAGGAACAGATTCACATTTAACACTTAGCTGCTGTATCAAGTATCAATATTTCCTTCATTCTGCTTTGTTCTTAGTGTTACCGCAAAACTAACATGATCCCAGAAAACTACCTATTTTAGAGCAATTACAGGCTTTTTTTGCAAAAATCTTGTTGGTCTAATAAAAGATATCACTTCTACCATAAGCCCCGATTACCTATTTTAGAGCACATTTCGACTCACAGGCCACTTGACCAGTTTTGGTGAACAGTTGAGGGCCACACACAAAATCATCCAGAAATTACAATTTTAACAAATTATAGATAAAAAAATATACACATTAAAAAAGCCAAAAGAAAAAGATAACTGCGTAATAGCTCAAAATAAAGTCTTACTATTGTATATCGGGGGGGAAAGCCACGTGCAGCAGAACTGCCCCAGGCAGTGTTGTGCGAGCGTGGTCCGCTGCCCCTATTCCCGAATCTGGCCTGTGGCTGCCTTGTCACATTCTGTAGGGGGTCAAGCCCCACCCACCCCCACCCGGGGCAGGCCATGCCTCATTCCAACCAGCTGCACAGCTTCTCAGTAGGGTTGCTCCTAGTGGAGCCGCCCATGGGCTGCTTGGCTTCCCCCACCACACTTCTCATCCTCCTGCTGCACTAGCATGGGGAAGTAGCAGCAATGGCTATGGGGATGGGAACACAAGCCAAGCACCACACCCCCAGCCAGGCAGGGGGAAAGCTGCAGCCAAGTAGCTCCTGGCCCCAGCACACAGTGCTCCAGCCGGAGGATTGGAAGAGGGCCAACGTGGTTCCCATCTTCAAAAAGGGGAGGAAAGAGGACCCGGGGAACTACAGGCCAGTCAGCCTTACCTCGATCCTGGGCAAGCTGTTCGAGAATATTCTGGCACGCATCCAGGAGGGGCCAGCAGGGAGCTGCATGCTCAGGGGCAACCAGCACGGGTTCATCAGCAGCAGGTCCTGTCAGACCAACCTGGTGGCCTTTTACGACCAGGTCACTAAATCATTGGATGCAGGGGTGGCAGTGGATATAGTTTTCCTAGACTTCAGGAAGGCTTTTGATACTGTCTCTCACCCCATTCTCATTAGGAAGCTGGGGGACTGTGGCGTAGACACCCA